TCTCTCTCTCTCTCTCTCTCTCTCTCTCTCTCTCTCTCTCTCTCTCTGTCTGTCCCCCTCCTCTCCTCCCACCCATGTGGTCTGAGCTGAATCGGAATAGGTTGCTGGTGAATGGGAGCCTGGTTGAACTCTGCTTGGTTTCTGAGTGCAAACAGCCTCCCTGCTGCTGCTTATTCAGCACTGGACTGATGATGCACTCACTAGATTATTCTGGTTCTCTCTCTGCCTGTCTCTGTCTGTGTCCTTCCTCCCCTCACTTTCTCACTTCGTCTGTTTCTATTTGCCTTCTCGTCTACGTGTTTGGCATGTTTTTAGTGTCCATCTTACTACCCATCATTGTTCCTTCTCTTTCTTACACTCTCTATGAATTAATTGGTAAATTGCACATTATGCTTTGACCCCTCCCCTTTACCCGTAATACTCATTCCAATAGACAATGGCTTCAGATCTCTACTGCCATTCACCGTGACCTGGATTGAGTTAAAAACCTGATTCTATGTTATTGAAGAAGCCATTTAGAAGCATTGCGAGATATTATCTATCTGCATTGCTTAAACTATGAATCCTGATTATTCCAGCTCATTGGCTGGCTGGCTCACTTCCATCCATCCACGGCCCTGTTTGTCCATCCACTGTGAAAACAACTGACATCAGTCCTCTGTCCGTGTCACCATGGGGGTCCAGTGTACCGCTGGCCGTCAGCAGCACAATGGGGCGGCAGGGTGGGAAGCCTGGTGTGTTGGCAGGGGACACGAGCCCAGAGCAGGGGGGACGTGAGCCCTTTCTAATCCCTGCTCTATTCTCTGGTAGATTAACACTTCTAAACCGACACAGAGTGAATCAGCAGATCTCTCTGTATCCCTCTAGATCTTCCATCGGACAGTACGCTGGCGTTATCATCAATTTTGTGCGAGCGCAGGTGTACTATGGGATGCATGGCGGCACAAGTGGTGAATTCAGCGAACAAAATGAAAGAGTCAACATAGAATTACATTACATTTTTAATCAAATAAAAAGAGGTTTTGGAGTTGATGAGTCGAGGAGACTAGTCTTTACCTTGATGGGAGAGTTTTGTGTGTTCTCAGGCATATGCTGTCTCCGCTTCGGGAGAGAAAGTATGAGGGTGAGGTTCTATACAAGTGCAGTCTTACAGTTAAACCAAAATCTAGAGCTTGGACTAGAAAACATTTCACCACAAGATTCACTCAGTGGCTGTTTGGGGGGTTTCAATTGTGTCACACAATCTCCCCTTGAAGATGTAGATTTCCCAGAAGTAATCGAAATATAGATATTAAAATGTCCATTCTTTTTGAGCACTTTAAGGACTTCTGCTTCTTGGCTGAAGACCAAAGGAGAATTGTCCTTGTTATAAAAGGACCTAAATTACCAAACATCATGACCATTTTGATTTAATATTTTAGTATAACTTCAACTCACACAGTCACTGCTGTTGCCAACTTGAATCCTATTGCATTACATTATATTGCATTACTTTTTATATACTCTCAAAGTTGCAATGTTTTATGGAATAATTTGGATACTAAAAGAGGAATTGAAGCTTAAACAAAGTTAAAATATGAGTTTGTAAATGATATAGCAGCAGTGGGTTTGTGTTCAGTCCAGAGAATCATCAGTGATGGTTGATCCTACTGATATTTGTTTTCACTACCTCAACCAACCACATAATGAAAAACATTTATGTCAGTGGAAGTGACATGTTCTGTGATCCATGTATGGGTAGTAAAGTCCTTCAAACCCTCTCGCATCCATTCAGGGTCACAAAGAAAATTGCCTTTTTGCTTTGTTTGTTGATTGCTTGCTTACATTTGTAGCGATATACCAGGGCGAGCCAGGAGCTGTGACTGAGAAGACAGGAGACACGAGGGAGATAGTCGGGGTGAATGAGGAGAATTGGGAGGAATGTTTAAACAAAGCGGTTATTGTTTCATTGAGGTGACGGATCTGAACAGCAGGCACGGTAAGGATGGGTAGATGAGGTTATGGGAGGGGTGGGAAGAAGGAAAAGATTGTCGATACATAATGTACAAGTCTGTCCATACATTCTCAGTTTGTTGCTGACTAGGTCTGAGGAATAGCATCTACAGTGCAATGCAGTACCCAGTGTGCTGTATCTCACGACCCATTGTTCTAGACCAATGGGGTATGAAGACAGTTTGATTAATGGGTTGTGTTACTGAGGACAGGCAAAAAAAACTCTTGCACTGAACTTAAGCTGGTTTTCTGGTTAGAGATGCTACCTGAGTCCTTTTTGATGATGACTGTGCTTTGCCTAATACGAGATCGATGATCGGACATGCAGCACAGAGCCAGGCCAACCCTTAAAACTGAAGTCAGAAGTGATTCATTTTTTTTGTTGTTTTTAACTATGCACAAAAAATAATCGATGTAAAATGCTCTAGCTTTTGAAGGTTCAAAAAAGACTCGAAATGTTGTTTCGGGTCTGTTCTGCACAATTTTCTTCTCTTATGGAGCAAATTTAAAGTTTTGCTTCTTCTTGTTCTGTTCTCTTGTGTCCAGGTCAGACAAGAGGATGACCCTCCCGTCACGGTTTCAGAAGGAGGTGCATGCTCACCTTTCTAAAAACTCCCAACGGACCGGCCGTAAGTAGAACAGGCTGTTTTTCATAACGCTAAAAATACATTTTGTGTAGCTTTTGGTCCTCTAAACGAACAGAAACGTTTTCCAGACCTGGATCACTTCTAACAACTGAAATGCTGGCTTGCTGCTCAAAGCATCAGCAGAGGATACTAAAGTCTCAACTAAGTAAAAGACAGTTTTCTAGTGTCATGCTGTGCTTTCTTGTGCTGAAGTATCAAATCCTGTGTCCAACAGACCTACCAGTATTTTGTGATGTGTAAAGCAAACAAACAGCAACCCCATCTTAGTAGATCTTCTGAGGATCCTGTAGACACGAGGTTCAAGTTTAATCAGCGCCCATTCGTCTTGTGTTGTCTGTCAACCTCCCTGCTCTTTATCTCTTTTACTTAAACTAAGAATGTGTTTGTTGTCATGTTACCTGTCTGAACAATGGCTGTATAGCCTGGGTGAACGCACAGGAATTTAATAAACCACACAGCTTTGAGGCACATATTTTCAAAGTCTCCAGCCATTTTAGATGTTTATTTCAGGCCCTTACAGACAGACGAGACTGTTTAAGTGTGATACTGACTGGTTTAAGAGCTTTTGCTTCATGTACGAGACTCCTGTTTAGAAAATGTGCAAGACCTACGGTGCTGTATGCCTCACAGTGTTGGTGTAACAAGGCTCCATTTGATTATTGTAATTCTAGAGATGCACACGTTAGTATCAAAGTTGTTTTTAGTGTGACTACAATAGCCAGCACTAATATCCATATTTGGATGAATACTGAATGTCAAAATGTTTCAAGCAATATTGACATACATTGACGTGTTTCAATTGGAATTTTCGACAGTCTGACCAATTTTGCATTTAAAGTTTTATTAAAAGAAAAGAAGCCCCGTAGGTCAATGGGTCAGAGGCAAAAGGAGGCGTGACTTAGGTTGTAAAGATACCCATTTATCACTCTTATTCTTTATTCAAATGATCCATCTTTTTTAAGATTAAAGTGCCTTTGTTTTTGGCAAAAGCATGCCATGCAACCAGCAAGTTCCAGGGTCCAGAAGATCAAAACACTAATTGCATCCATCTCTTTCTTCTCTTTCTTCCAGCACCCTTAAATCTAAACGAGAGCCTCCACTCGGGGAAAGGAAAGCCCTACAACCCTCAGCAGGTCCAGGGGTGCATCAGGGAGATTCTGGGGAAGTACAGTAACGGGTTCTGGGTGTCAAAGCTGCCGCAGATCTACAGGGAGCTGTATAAACGGGATATGCCCACTGAGGCCATCAAAGACTTGGAGACCTGGACTCACATATGCACTGTATGTACGCCTGACGCTACTGAAGTTATTTGTTTGTATTTTACTATAATAAGAAGCATGTCTGTTTTCAAATGATTATCTCCAATAATTGTGATAAAATGATAATACAGTGGGGCTAATGAAAGGCAGCATGACATCTTTATGTCTCTTGCAATTTACTTAGCATAAGTTATGATATCACATGTAGTACATGTTAAGCAGCAGTTATATATCAGTTTAAGTTTTTCAAAGAACTCGGTACTAGAGATAATACTGCACAAAATCCTAAAAACAAGAACCCACAAAGCTCTGCATGAAACACAAAAAGCTTTTAGTAATCTTATATCATCTTGAGACACGTCAAGTTCAATTTATTTATAAAGCACAAGTCTCAAATCAGAGAACATGAGAAAGAGGAATTTCTGAGCAGCTCACGACTCTAATTAGTTCACATTAGTACCAATCCCGATGATATATTGGAAGCAACAATGTCATGAATGTCTAGTCATGTTCAGTCTGTTTTACCTACAAAATGGTTTTATAATATGTAACTTAAGTGCTTTCCATTTATTCTCCTAGGTAGAGAAAACCTGCAGCAGCAACCCATCAGAGTTGCTGCTTTACCCTGCCAAGGGACAGACCACCACATCCTCCCCTCCACCCATCCTTAACCCAAACTCCACCTCTGGCCCTGTGCCAAATTCAAACACCCCGAAAAACAAACCTGTGCAGTCCCCCACCCAGAAGAGTCCCCCCAGCACCCATTTGACTCACTCTGGTTCCTGCTCTCCTCAGACTACAACATCATCCTCCTCGTCCCCCAGTCCTCCCTCCTCCCCTGCCACCCTCAGCCCCGACCTGAAGCTGAAACTGGAGGAGCTGCTGGTGAAGTACCCCAACGGCCTGTGGGCCCACGCGTTGCCCAAGCTCTTCCAGGACACGTACAAAGTCAGTAACATTTTGAAACACTATCATATTAAGGTCCTTACCAAATTCAGGAGCTAGGTGCGGTTGATATTTTTTAATATAAATATATATATATATACATTCAATTTTATTTATTTGCAAGTTCAAACTGCCCGGACACGTCCTGGAGAACCTTCACCTCCTCTCCGACATCTGCACCATCGACTACCCCATGCCTGACAACCCCAAGAGAGCCATCTTGTACAAGGGGAGCAGCAGTGGTGGTGGTGGAGGAGTAGAGGATGAGAACTGTAATAGGAGGAACTCCTCAGCCAGTGTGGAGGAGCAGAGGGTGAGGCAGGAGCTGGGGAGGAAACTCAGTAACCACGCGGTGCCCTCTCTGCAAATACCCAAAGAGGAGTACCCCTCTGTGCTTGTGGTGGAGGCCACCAACACCAACGGAGTTATAATCAGGTAGGTAGGAGAACTGCATGTGTGAAGGTACTGTAGGACTTAACAGTTCAGACTCTGTCTGTCTCTCCTCCTCTCTCAGGTACATTGGTGAGGGTTACTCCCAGGCCCAGGAGTCCATGGAAGATGAAATGAGGGTTTTTTACGGTGTGGACCAAAGCAGTCCAACTCCTTTGTCGTCTCCATCCTCCGGCCAACTTGTTGCTGTCAGGGCCGAGGAGGAGGAGGAGGAGATTCTTAGGGCGCAAATCTGTGAGGTCATGGTTGACAAGGTCAAGGTGAGAATTCTAGTGATACTAGTCATCGATGCATCCAAGACAAATGCATAACAACTAAATTGTAAATGTTTCTCCTCTGTAGGTGCACTTTGTGGATCATGGCTTCTCAGAGGTGATCAGCAAAACCAAAGTGTTTGAGCTGCATGAGAAGTTTTTCCAACTGCCCTTCCAGGCGACCAAATGTAAACTAGCAGGTGAGTCTGAATTGGAAAAAAACACTTCTTCTTGTTTCACCCTTCTATTTTCCCCTACTCCATCATTTATTGGCCTGTTGATGTAACTGTGTCCGTCCAGGTCTGAAGCCATTCTGTCAGGAGCCTGCTGTGCTGAAGAAGTTTGAGACAATGGCAAGTGGAAAGATCCTATTGGCAGAGATCATAGAGAGAGGGCAGACCCCCGTTGTCGTCCTGTATGACACGTCGCAGGATGACGATGTCAACATCAACGCTGCCTGTATGAAAGCCCTGCAGGACAAGACGCTTGCCAGCCCGTCACAGGTACAGGAGTGCAGACATTGTGTTTGCGAGGGGTTCGGTCAGTGTGTGTGTGTGTGTAGCACACTAAACTCTTATCACTGGCTCTCCTCAGGTGAACAGCACTTATATGAACGTGACTGTCAGAAGTGTCTGCTCAGATGGGACCATCTACTGCCAGCTGCCCTCCAGAGGCCTTTCCAAGCTCAATGAGATACTGGAGAACATAGAGACATGCTTCCACTCACAGGTTAGCACCATGCTACATTTGATGTCTCAGTGACTTTTGAAACTTTAAAAACATTTACTCTTTTTTTTCAGCTGGTGATGCAAATGTGCCATAGAGTTCCATTGTTGACTAAAAACTTTTAAAATCGCACCAATGATCTACATTGTTACAGGGTATTTTATTACATTGAACATGGGCACGTTAGTTTATTTTGAATAAATGAGACATTCATCGTTTTTCTGCCATCAATTCTCATTTGAGCACCAAATGTGTAGTGATCGATGATGAAAACTAGCGCTAGACAAATGCACTATTTAATCTGGTTTAAGAAATGTTTGTTAGAAACTCCAGTGCCCAGCTGTTTTAGGAAATTACTCTCCCTTTTTAGAAAACAAAACTATATATATGTATATATATATGCATCTTAATAGAATTCAATGAACTGGGTACTTGGTCCCACAGACACAGTGGGAAAGTTTAAATGATGAAATAATGCATTGTTGGTTTTAGTCTTTTCTTCTTTTATTGCAAGACCAATGACAGTAAACTATGGGTTTTGTCTTTTCATGGGATATATTGACAGTAAGAACAACATAGAACAACACAAGCCTTATCCTTTCACATCTCTAAATCATTAAATTCATTATGGTGCAATTAACATAAACAAAGAGTACCATTGCTACAAGGACCACACTGTCGTCGTTGTCATTTTTAGTTTATATAACGATACACAGGATACAAGGAGAAGCTCATTTTGAAGAGTGATGACTGGCTGGGAATTAATGTGATTACGACATTGACCGTAAGAGCCCTGGTTCTTGTAGGAGGAGAGTTGTGACAAACACTGCGTGTATCTATTTATACTATTGATTTCATTATAGACCTTAAGATCCACTCTCGGTCTGGAACTACAACTCTATTCTTAATCCGGTCTTCAAAGCAGCCCATCTCATTTGCTTCTCTGTGTTTCGTTCATCTCAGTGTTTTCTATATGCATTTGTCTGTATAAGAATTAATTAATATAGAATTATTATTTCTAAATGGGACACACATGGGGTGCATACAGATGTGTTGCACACTCCTGACTGGAAATAAGAAGAGACACATATAAACCTTCCTTGCATGTCCTTATCTGTTGGTTAAGATGAAGATCAGCTGTATATACTGTATGTGTTCATTACAGCCTGTTTAGAAAATACACGCAGGAGACTAGGACTCACATGATCGTCTTAAAAGCCTTTTGTGTTGCTTCTTTCAGGCAGAGTTGTAGACAGATTGAGATTAGTTTGATAAGCTTGCCAAGCCACTTAATCTGTTAGCAGCACAGTGGAGCCGATGCTTTTTCTATATGTGCCGCTGCTGTCCTTTAAAGCTCGTAGTTGCAGCTCAGTAATGCTTCACGTCAGTGTTGAGGTTAACACAGTGGGGAGTCTGGTATTGTATTTTACCAACGCAAGAGACTTGCAAGTCTGTGGAGTGTATTTGAATTCATCAAGCATGCAGGGGAGTAATGTTGTTACAAATGTCATTTACATTACATACTCCCGAGAATAACTTTCTCAACTTAATATCCGGTTTGGTAATCCATAGTTGAGTCCAGCTAAATGTATATAGTTTATCTGTTAGGGTGACTCCCTCTGCTAGTGTTGGTAACGTTGGTGTCATGAATCAACTGTAGAGTAAATGTAGGAATACATTAACCATTCATAATTCAAGTCTTTTAATGATTTAAACATCAACAGCCCCTCTCCATTCCAAGTAACCACAGATCTAAAGTCCTACTCTTTGATGTCATTGTAGTAAACACCTGCAGCAGACTGGGTGGACTTGTGAAATGTTTGTGTGAGCTTTTACAGTTTCATTTTTATTGCAGTCATAAACCAGCAGTTGCACATACTCAGTAACCTCGCCAATCCAGAGGAAATACCGTCAGATTTAACAAGAATCTGACGTCTGATATTTCTGTTCCAGGTAACATCAGAGTTCTTGGTATCAAGACCCTTCTGTGGGAAAGGGTGTCTGGCTCGCTACAAAGGCAAATGGTCCCGTGTTGAGGTAAGATGGCACTGAATTTTTAAACAAATCCACATATTATTAATGTTGACAAAAGGGATAAAGTCACAGTTGCAGAGGCAGGCATTACCCTGAGAGCAGCGATTACAAAGAAACACCATCCACACTACTGCAATCCTTCCTGCACATTTTTAATAACTGTAAAAAATATGAAGTTTCCCTGTCTATAATTCTGTCTTTAGATCACCAACCTGCACGGCAGCAGAGTGCTGGACATCTTGTTCATTGATGTTGGCGTCCAGGCTTCTGTAGAGGTGTTTGAGCTGAGAGAGATCCCACCGCCATTCCTCCGTGACCTCATGTCCATCCCGCCACAGGTCAGCTATTTCTTCAAAGCACAGATCGTGACAAACAGTGAAGAGCAAATATTATGCTCAAAGGAGATTTTTTTGTTATGCACTGTGGTAGTGAGGGCAGCGTCCTCATGCAGTCTTACAGATTATCTGAGAAAATGACTTCCAGCGACCTGTGTTTAGGCTGTGAAGTGCTGTCTAGCAGACCTGGCTGTCAGTGTTGGCTCCTGGACTCCAGATGTTGTCCAATGGCTTCGAGAGAAAGTGCTCAACACCACAGACTGTAGCATGAAGGTAAAATGCTGCCCATTCTTCCTTAACATCTAACATCTAACATCTTCAGTTGTTTTTTGTTTTCTTCAGGGAGGGGATGATGATTATTTGTTTTAGAAATCACTCAAATTTTGCCTTCATTGGTTCAGCCCCTCTGTTTTTCTTCCCCATGTATCTCCGCACTAATCTTGACATTTCTCCAAAGGTTGCCAAGGTAGATGAAACCAAGCGCTGCATCTACGTCCACCTCTTCACCGACAAGAACTTCCAGGACCCGGCCCGCAGCCTCAACCATCAGATGGCCCAGTCTGACCTGTTCAAACAGCAACCAGATGTGTTCCTGACGAGCCACAGGTTACTGCTGCTTGAGATTCCCCTCTATTATCCCCTCAATATAAAGCTAATGTTCAGCTTAAATTTATTCACTAAATTTCTCCTTTGTTTGTCAATTGAATTTCACAGCCCTGCCAAGATCTTCACAACCACTTTATCCTCCAAAACCCCCAGCACCGGTGACTACACCAATGGGAGTCCAATGTCAACCTCTTCCCCAGCCAAGCCTCATCTCAGGAGGGTTCTATCAGGACCCAGAGGAGGCGGAGGAGGCAACAAGACTACCACCCGCCCACTAGAGACTCCGTCACCCCCCTCATCCTCTCTCCAGCTGCCACCATTACTAGAGTTCCCCCCAGCAGGTAATAAATATAGTGGATATCTTTTGCTTACTGTAGCCTGGAAAAGCATATGTTCACATGTAAGTCTTTTTCTTCTCAGGAAGCAACATAGACGTCTATGTATCAGTGGCGTGCCATCCGGGCCACTTTGTGCTGCAGCCCTGGAGAGATATGTACAAACTGGTTGTGTTGATGGGAGAGATGATTCTCTACTACAATAAAACTGAGGAGAAACCCCTAAACATAGAGAAGAATCAGATATATGCTGCTAAAGTGGAGAACAGGTAAGTTACTCTTACTGATTTGTGGTGCCGTATGTCTTTGTTTCTGTCTGTAGTGTATATTTAATAACAGGCCAAATGGAAGCGGTTGCGCTTTGCCTAAATATATCCACTCTTCCTTCTTCTCTTCTCTTCTCTTAGCTGGCATCGTGTGTTGGTGAAGGGAGTTCTGACCAACGGGTTGGTGTCTGTGTACGAGTTGGACTACGGTAAACATGAGCTGGTCAGCTGCACACAGCTCAGACCTCTGATCAAAGAGTTCAGACAGCTGCCGTTCCAGGGAATCACTGCTCAGCTGGCTGGTGAGTGCAATTTAGTCTTTCCATTTGCTGTTCATTTATTTCTTTACTTTACAGTATCAGAGGCAGGTTTGTACTTCTTACTCAATTATATTCACAGATTCATATTTTACATATTAAACATATGGTGAGCTTATAAAATATGGTGCATAATACAATAAATAATACAATAATATAAATCCTTTATGTTACTAGCTAACTTTAACTGCCTTATACAAGATATTTAGAATTAGCTCCACCTCAACCTACTACAATGTACCATTGTATTTCTGCATTATGAGCACATAAACCTTTAATATTTCAAGTACATTTTGCTGATAAAACTTCCATATTATTATTTTTTTTCTCAAGAATATTTTTTATTAAGTTTGAAACAAATGAACAAAATATATACAGGAAATGTGTTAGAGTGCACAACAAATATATCAATTGAAAAGAGCACATCTATGCACAACATGCAATCATCCCTCAACCCCACTCATCATCCCATCGTACTATTATTTAAGCAAGTCTTTGAATGCAAGTCTTTCTCTTGCAGTTTTTACGATATTCGATTGCTGTGTTTAGTATTTCTTCTCACAACTTTACTTTTCTATTTTCTGTTATTAAAGTTCCTCCATGAAACAAGGTGAAGTCATGAAGCAAGTTATGAGCCTAGCCAGCAAAATGCCTCCTAGGCTTCTAATTTGTGTAGCATTAAATGTTAACATTGTATCATTAACATCAAAGTGAGCTTAACCTTCACACTTGTGTCCCTGGCAGGATTGAAGCCGAGGCAGTGGTCAGAGGAAGCTGCTATCGTCTTCAGGAACCACGTGGAGAAGAAACCCCTTGTGGCCCAGCTGGAGGCCGTACAGGAAGCCACTAACCCGTGGGACAGGAAGTTGATGGTCTTCCTTGTCGACACTTCACAGGAAGAAAGGGACGTCTGGGTGCACGACATCATGGCTGAATTTGCTGAAGAGCTGACCAACGAGCTGTAGGCAGCAGAAGATCGTCGACACGTCTTACTAGGTCAGCAGTTTCCTGCTGCTCAATGAACACACTGTGAGTTGTGGATAGATAAAATAGAAGCTTATCTATCTTTATGTATCCACCATGTAGGGCGACTGAAAGAAGACAGGAAGAAAAGATGAAGGAGAAGTTATGAGTAGAAGGGAAAGCTTTGATAGCATATAGAGGGAAAAACAAGAGGTGTAGGTGTTGTAGCCACTTGCTTGTCGTGTTTTGGGCTGTACATGGAGGGATGCCGTGATGTGATTTTGCAGTGTGACCACTGGACAACACACCCATGCATGATGTTGGTCCAATCTTGCCACAAATACTCTAAACATACCTTCAGCATACAGTAACAAACTGCTGAATTTCTCCATAATATAACAAAGCTGTGGAAGTGATACAACAGCAGCGTCTCACACTACCGCACCGTGAGTGCATCCAGTTATAGTGTGTGTCGTCCGGGGGCGACGCCTGAACACCGTTAACCCTGCCAATGTGAGCACCATGCACAAAATGTTCAGATTAGCTCTTCTCACATTCTTGGAAGATTTAAATACATTTGTTTACAAAATCTGCTTTTTTTGGATAGTATTTGTGATTGTCATAAAGTTTCCAAAAGTTAGAGCCAACATTCCCCTGAGGAGAAGAAACAGACAAGTCCGTAGTAGTTTACACTTTTTGTATATGCTTGAATAAACGCTTGTTTTCTCCAGTTAGACTCTTCTTAGCATATGCATGCTGACACAGAGTCTACATACTGACCGAGCGAGAGCAGAATCAGAAGCTGATGGGGTTTGTTAAGGAAGTATATACTTGGTGTGAGATATGTTTGTATCCTGACATGAGTTGTTTTTCGTAGTAGTACATCCTGGCACTGCATGTACAGTAGAAGGGATTTTACATTGAATTGAAAGAGTACATTGACACACAGACAGTTCCTCAGACTTTTTGACTGTGCATTGCTTAAAAGCGCAGTGACATTTGAAACTCAGAGTTGAGTAACTCTCTATTATTCTCTTTCTTGTCTTAAAATGAGACTTTGATTTCTCCACATCACCTGCTGCATGTCGCAGATCTTTCTTAATTGTGCGCATACACTTTGATGTTATAATAATAAGCAATACGTTTCCAGTAGTGTGAAGCTTTTACATTTCCAAAAGGAGATAAGTTCTGCTCGTGTTTGGTTCCAGTACTACTATCAAATGTTGGCCGATTGTGGGATTTTATTCTGAAATGTGTGTGTTTTTATTCTGGCACACCTGCACCGTGGTTTTGGATTTGCAAATGCTTCTCCAGTTCTGAAGACCGTAGACCCGACAAAGCTCAAAGCTGCATTGTTGTTAACAAGTGACAAGTGACAGGAATTTAATTTATATTTAACTTATATTCTCTGGAGGATGATGAATGCTTCATTCATTTCCATGTTGTTGTTTGACGATGAGCTGGAGGTAATAAATGACTTGTTTTTGGAATAAAGTCTGTTTGAGAAGTTTAAACGTCATCATTCCACTGATTACTTCTTCTATTGCAGATTACAATTGTGTTATGCTATTTTAAAAACTCACATCATTTCAATTTCTTTATTAAAATATTAAAACATCTCAGTCATTTACATATTATATCACTGCAAAATGTGCATGTAACTCCCAAAATAACCGCATTCACAGCATTTCTCCCAGTACTTTAACAACTCACCATTCATTAAGTTATTACAGTTAGGCACACATTATGTTGTAGACGGCTACCTACATTACAAAACTTGTTGACTTGTCAAAATTGTATGGTAGTTGTGTTAACTGTCTATGGAATGATTCATAAGCGGTCGTGTATCCCGTCCTTGTCCGTCCATTCAGCAGCTAGCGAATGGAGAGCATCATCACAAACTCTGAAGAGGAGAGAAAACAAATCAACAAGTGGAGTCAGTGCTGAGTGTTACACAATCATGACCAACAATGTGAACACACACACACTCACACACACACACTTGTGGTCAACAAGTCAAACCTATAAATGTGCCTGAACTTCTTTTTGTCACCTTCAAAGTCGATGCT